GGTGGAGGGGAGGGGGGTGGTTTTGTTGTGGGGTTTTTGGGGGTTTTTTTTCTTTTTTGGGGGTTTTTTTTTGGAAGGCCTCTCTTTTGAAATGCCAGTGCAGCTCGAATCCCAGACATAGCATGAAATATATATGGAATATATGCAGATTGTGGTCTTACTTGGAAAATGCTAAGCTTCATAGAACCCTCTTCTAACACACTAAAAGTAATGCAGTCAGCACTCTACAACATGCACTGGGGATCTTATGCAACTGGCATCATGAACCTTTAGCATCTATGAAATGTATAATGAGGAAAATTACATGGATATGATGTGTTCACATTGACGGCCAAGACCAGGATCAAATTATTGGATCTGACATGTAGACATTTAAATACAAACATGGTAGATCTATCTTTCTGCACTGAACTTTTCCATGTAACATATTTACATCACATATATAACAACAACCTTATTAATTACAGTAGGAATATGATATGATTCAATTTTTCTCAAAAGGTGAGTTTGAAATGTATTGTACATTATTTATCTCCTAAAAATAAATTATTTGAACTGATATTGTAGTCTTATTTACTCAAACTCATATGAGTTCAGACTATGTAACAGCCTGAAAATATAACAGTCCTTTGTATATATTTAGAATTTATTAATGACTTACCTTGGCAGACCAGGAGTAAAGAAGAGTCTGATATGTAGCAACACATCTTGGGACTGTTTCATTGTCTGTAGGTTCTGGACTTGGAAAGTTAACAAGCTGATATTATCTTCATTTTCTTGGAGTTTCACAAGCTGTATTCCTGTATGCACACACTTCACTGATCTGTGCGGGATGATGGGGAGGTGTACAGCTTGGTCTTCTGACAGTGTCCTTAGGTGGTACATCTAAGTCAAACGAGTTTAAAGATGGACTTTGGAACAATGTTGCTTGCTTGGATTTGTGAGTACTTGAAACATGCCTTGGAACCATTCTCTCTGGTTTAAAAGAATAGGGATATTTTTCTGCTTTACTTTCTGACAGCTTCATTCCACTGAGGGATGGGACAAGTCCCTGTAAAACAGAGAAAAGTTCATCAAAGTTGAGTTGAAGTTTTCTTAAGGGATCTTCTCTTAGACGTGGACTAGGTTGGAAAATGGAAGGAACTGCATTTTCTATTTCTTTCACCAAGCAGGGTGCAGATTGCAGAACCGTAGCTTGGCTTTCCTCCTGAAGAGCCTCTTTAGAGTATTGTATAAGGCCATCCATGTATGATAGCGGACTGGAGGTATAGTTTATGTATTCTGAAATGTCTTTCTGCTTTTTAAGTTTGATGTTGTCAAATGCAGTGGTGTTCTGAAGTAGTCTTTGCCCCAGTTGGGGCAATGAGCGTAAGATTTTACTAATACCAAGATAAAACTACTTTTTCTCAGAAGAATGATACTCTGGTTATTCAAAATAGCTCCAACAAGCCAACAGGGCATGTGTCCCTAAATGCAGCACATCCACTCTGGCATAGTGTAAGTTACAAAAACAAAACCCCAAGAAATTTAGAGCCCTTAACTCCACCTACTGAACAGTTCCTGGTGCTCCTGAGTGACGTGGTTCATTACCAGAGTTTCTGCAGCGCTTGCTTTTCTAATACCTACAAGCTACATGCCCTCCACCGCAGTAGCAGCGTTTGCACTCTGGGTCATTAGTGCAGGAGCAGCCGCAGCACCAGCAATTGGGCTGCTCTGCACGTGAGCAGTGGCAGCGCTCGCAGGGGCTGCCTTCTTCGTAAGGACACGGGAAGCAGCTGTGGTTCTGCTGAACAAGAAGCGCCAACACAAGCAGTAGTCTTGTGTTCAGTAGTCTTCCTTTCTGCTGTGGCAAGTCAGGTAGAAGCAGCTTGAGCAGCAGGGCCAGATCAGACAGGGATGCCGTTTTCATTCATCCTGCTGTCACATAGTTGGAAGAAAGTTCACTGATCCTTTCAGCTTCTCTGCATGCTACAGCAAAACGAGCTCAGACTGTGGGGCCAAGCTCTGAGCTCTGGCCATGCGCTTCCTTCTAATAGGAAAGTGGTGTCACAGGGGGATAGGCAAACAAGGGCACAGGCAGAATGTTACTCACAGGTACCTAATATAGTGATGACATCATCTATACATCCCAGTAATATAGTTCTTCCTGAATTCCTTGAAAGGGTTTACCTCACTCTCCATTAATTGCATGGGGAATGTATACATTTGGATTACATACCCCAAGACCACTATCTCATTAGGACAACACACCTCATCAACATCTTGTCATGTCAGCTGGGTGTTGTAAGCAAACCACCTGAATCAGGCCCTAAGCAGTGGTAGTGAGAGGTTTCTAATCAGGCCTCTGTAAGTCTTTAAGCATAACTAGCACACGTGAAAGCCTCACACCTGAGATATGTCTTGAAGCGTATCCTCGTCTTAATTATTTTAAGCCCTTGTCTGCCACTGTTTACACTCTTGAGCAATGTATGGCATTCGTTCCCCCAAGGACTCGAGAAAAGAATGAGGCTTGGATCATAGATTCAGTGCTAGTGCTCTTTTGCTGTGGACCTGCTGCTTTTCCCGCTGAGCCCCAGTGTGTTTCTTGCGCTTCCTTAAGTTGGCCACTCTCCTATAAATGCCATATCAGACATATTATTTCAGTTACTTTTTAGTTACTTTATATTAGGCACCTTTTAATTTAATAGATTTATTTCAAGATTTATATAACGTGTTACTGATTCATAGGTATAATAATTTTAAATAAAAATTAAATTTGTGTAAAGAATATGTGAGTGTCTCACTATTGCGTGTTTACTGTAGTGCTTCTATGTAAGCAGTTGGACTTGATGATCTTAAAGGTTTCTTCCAACCTAAATGGTTCTATGATTCCAAAAAAGGAAATCTACCCGCTAAGTTATCCGCAACCGACTTCTGAAACAGGTTATTCTCTTACTTGGAACTGTAAAGGACAGTGATATCTATACGGTACATGTTCAGGAATACTGACTTTTAATGCTGGCTTCTGTACTAAATTTTTCCAAAATTCAACAATTCAACTTGTGTTAATGGGTTAATATATAACTGGGAATTACTAAAATAGGTCTTGACATAGTTTACTCTAACAGCTCCTTTGAGCCTATTTGCTTAAAGTCTATTCTACCTAGAGAAATTTTAATTCACTGATCCAGAGCCCTACAGACCGTAATGGCTGAGTCATTATGTGTAACCATTTACATGATGGGCCATAATAGGTTCTTTGTAATGGTTATAGCCTATTGTGTCAATTGGGTCTTCATGCATAAGTACTAGATCTGTGTGCTGAACGGCTTTCTGTAGCATGACCTGGACCTTTAATGGATGTTATTTATTCCATTTGTCACTCCAGTTTAATCAATTGTAATGCTTTTTTTTATTGTACATATTTGATTTTGGGATATTGAAAGGCCTTTGAATTCAATCACTAGAAAAAAATGTATCTTGTGATGCTTGTCTGCTTTTCTTTGGCAAAACATGCATGAATGCATGTAAGGTTTCCTGAGGAAGAAAAGGTGGGGAAGGAAAGAAACAAATATGTCTTGTGTGCCACATACTGATACCTGGGTACTCTTTTCCGTTTTGACATAGTACAGAAGTTAATATCAACTTGTACATATAGCATTCTCAGCAGCACATTTCTTTTTCTTGGATGCTCTACGAATCATGTTTTTCCACTGAGTCTTGGGCAATTTTGTCTTCTGACCCATATAATTGTCATAACTTATTTCTTGCTATCTTTAGTGCTCCCTTTTTTGCCTTACCAAAACTACTTTCATCGACAGCCTAATTCCTGTCCTACTCGCAGTATCAGTGGCCCTCTCTGTAGCTCGCTGTAGGAATGCAGCCAGTTGCAAGGTGGTCCCTTTTCATTAATATGTTTATTCTCTAGCAGATATGGAAATATCAGCTCAGTCTGGCTGCCAGACAAACTGAATTAGATGCAATAGCTGCAACCAAACTGATAGACTGTTTTGCAAGCACTCTGTTCCCCCATGCCTCTGCTGTGGTTTCATCTGATTGTCATTTTCATTACAGTTCTCATGATATCCAGGGTGTGATGTGATTGACTTCACCTACAAATAAGCTTGGTCCTGCAAGGTGTTGAGGAAAATAAAAATGTGAGAGAGAAAGAAAAGCACAGGGTGAGGACACAGATTCAATTGAAATGACTTCAGATTAGTTAGGTGTGGTCATAGAATCATAGAATGGTTAGGGTTGGAAGGGACCTTAAAGATCATCTAGTTCCAACCTCCCTGCCATGGGCAGGGACACCTTCCACTAGACCAGGTTGCTCAAAGCCACATCCAGCCTGGCCTTGGACACTTCCAGGGATGGGGCATCCACAGCTTCTCTGGGCATCCTGTCCCAGTGCCTCCCCACCCTCTGTGTGAAGAATTTCTTCCTCATATCTAATCTAAACCTCCCTGATTTCAATTTATACCCAGTACCCCTTGTCCTATCACTACAGGCCCTTGTAAACAGTCCTCTCCCAGCACCCTTGTAGCCCCCTTCAGATACTGGAAAGCTGCAATGAGGTCTCCTCGGAGCCTCCTCTTCTCCAGGCTGAACAAGCCCAATTCTCTCAGCCTTTCGTCATAGGAGAGGTGCTCCAGCCCTCTGATCATCTTCGTGGCCTCCTCTGGACTCGCTCCAAGTGGTCAATATCCTTCTGATGTTGAGGGCTCCACAGCTGGACGCAGCACTCCAGGTGGGGTCTCACCAGAGCAGAGTACAGGGGCAGAATCCCCTCCCTCGACCTGCTGGCCACACTTCTCTGGATACAGCCCAGGATACGGTTGGCTTTCTGGGCTGCCAGCGCCCACGGCCGGCTCATGTTCAGCTTTTCATCAACCAGTACCCCCAAGTCATTTTATGCTGTACTTTCATTAGTTGTCAAATAGCTCAGTATAATATTTTCTACTTGGCAATTTATCCTGTTCTGCTTTGCAAGTTAAGCTAAGATTGTTGGAATTTTCTTCTTTCTTCCTCCTTTTGCACTACCTCCAGATACCTCACTGATGTTTCTAATAGTGGTTAGTAATGTGCAGGAAGAAGCTTGAGGAAAAACCATATGGTATGGCTTAACCCTTGACTAGTGTATCTAGTAACACTACATACAGAAATTATGGATTTAATATTTATAAAAGTGCTTTGTCTTTCTGTGTTTACACAGGCCATGTGACATGCTGAAATTAGAGAGGCAGGAACTAATGAAAATAATTCATGATGTTTCTCTGTATTCTCTAGTCCTAACACAGCAAAGTAATACCTGACTCCATTCTTCTTTTCTGTGTCTGCTAATGGCATCAAAGGTTTATTTAGTGTGTTCATTCTGTCAGTTACTGTGTAGAAACCCAGTCAAAAAGCTTCTGCTACCTTCAAGTGCTCCTAGAGCTGTAAGGTAATCTTGCGAGTCATGGAGAGAAGGAAGAGGCACTGTTATCTCCCTTAGTATAGGGAAGGAATAGCCTTTCCTATAAAACCATGTGGTCCAGCAGGATTCATCCTCTAAAGGATACAGTAGTTCTTTCAAAAAATTGCAGTGATCTAAGAGGTTAACTGGCTGCAGCACATAGAAATGTCTGGTTTGGTGGGAAGGTTTAGACTGAAATATGAGAAGCTTGAGATGGTACAACCCCAAACTGATCTATTCGTATCTGAGGGTTTCTTCCAAAAGCATTATTTCTGGCTAGCGGTGGCTTGTCCACAACAATGAGCAAGAGAGAGGAAAAGGAATCACTGTCCTGTTTTCATAAGAAAAATCCCTCTTTCTAGCTCTGTTTTCACTATCACTTTAAATCAGGTTAGAGGGCAATTTCCAGGTGGCAATGGCTAGGAAATAGCGGGGTTACCGTAAAAATCTTTTCTCATTTTCACGAGCTTTGTTGTTCCTCCATTCAACTCTTCACCTGTAGTCAAACGTCTCCCCTTGACTTCTATTTCAAGCAGCAGAAATATTGTGGTGGCTTCTACTGAAGAAATGCAGAGCTGGTATGCAAATTTCCGTGACTGTTCTCTTCAGCAGAAATTTTGAGATGGCTTAGCTGCGACAGAGGCACACTGGAGACAGCTCCCAGCCCAGAGCTGGGATGCTGGGTTCCTATGAAGATTAGAAGCTGGTAAAGCAAAAGAGCAATGAACACCTGGTAAACTTAAAGCCTCTTCATTGCTCTAAAGCTGTCTAAGAAGTATATCAAACTGAGGTCCATATGCCTTTACCCATGGATAAAGAAATGGAGGAAAAATTATAATAAATTTTCTTTTACAACTTTTTGCTCATAGACACTAGAGAGCATAATCTGATTTATTTATGTAGTCACTCCCTTGACTAGGTAATATTAATGCATATTTTATACTCATTCAAATTCTCTTTGACTTCAGAAGTATTTTTAAATACAATACACTATAAAAATTATGTCTGTTACAATTGGCTGTGAATGAGAAATATTACATTTGGGGAGTATATTATTTGAGCCAGAGGGAGGACTAATAGCAGACAATGCCAAAGGAAAAGACTCACTACTGATGTTTTATGTATTTCTTCATTAAAAATCTTAACTGAGGTTGCACAGTAACACAATTACCACCAGAAATATATAGTTCAGAACTGTCTAGAATTACGGAAAAAAAAGCTATATCACAATTAAATAAACTTAAAACGTTCAAAGTATCCTTACAAAATTCACCCAAGAAATATAGAGAAATATCTGAAATATTCACAGTAGTTTTAGGAGTTCTTTTTTGAGAACACATGAAAGCTGTTGGAAAAGTTACTGGAATAGATGAAATAAAAGATTGGACAACTCGGAAGAAACTCTAAGAAACCTTGTTTTGGATGAGACACATTTCCCACAGAA